CATAGAACATATATACATACACTACAAAATAAAACATTCTTTAAAATACATATTAAGTAAAAAAAAGAAAATGTACATTTTGCTGGCCTTAGTTTTCAGGGCGTTGTTTTCCTAGCTGTTTTCAGTTGGTTGATAGTGAGTTCTTAAAGCTCTCCCTGAAGTCACAGACTAGACTCTGTCACTAGTAGCTGGCCCAGGACTAGCTTCAGTATCAGTTTTCAGGTTGATAGAGATGAGAGGAGCTGGCTCTGCCCCAAGTCTACAGAAAGTGATGTATATCCATGTTAAGTTTTAAAAGAAACATTTAAGCATTTCCCTATCTTTATTTTATAATAAAATCATAGAAGGAAATCGTAGAAAGAAAGTTATAGTATCAGTTCCTACAAGACCAATAACATTCATCTATAAGACCAATTACATCAGCACCCATATGGGAGACCTGGGAGAATAGCATTTACACAAACTCTTTATCTGGCTGCAGAGACAGGATTCAGTGTCACTGTGCTCGGCTCATTTAATTCTACTTTAGATTGTGATGCATGTCACATACTCAACCTGGAACACTCTAGCAATTAAGTCAATATTTTCATTTCCACAAAAATGGTCTTACTTGCTATATTCTAATTGTTCTAAATGTGTCCGTAGTTTACATGTCTGTATATTCACCTGAATGGGTGTATTAGGGGACTATTCTCCATCATTTCCAGTCCCACTGGACCAGTTTTCTCTCCACCCACTGGGCCCCCATAGTTGCTTATGAAATAACCACTCTGAGGCTTAAAATCCGACACAATTGTTTGGCCAATGGCTTAGGTTACTTGCTAGCACTCTCTTAAAATATTAATCCATATCTATTATCATATCATATCACATGGTTGTAGCCCTGGTATCCTGCTTCCCCAGTGGCTAGGATGGCCTTTCTTCTGATCCCACCATCTTTCTCTCTTTGTCTTTGTTTGGAATCCCTAAATAGATACATTCTGCCTGGACATTGGTTGAAAAAGCTTTATTCATCAACCAATAAATGCAACACACAGATGAATCCTACAGAAGGATATCCTACATCACATGGATGCACATGGGTGTCAGGTAACATGCATGTTGTTTCATGTGTGGCAACTGACACTGTGTCTCAAGAGCTCTTCTCCAAACACATTGAGTCACGGCCTATCACTTGAACCCAGAGCTAACCAACTGAGGTAGTAGAGCTAGCCAGATTACCCTGACAACCCCCTGCACTTTCTTCCCAAGTGCTGGCATTACAGATAAGCCACAAAGTCCACTTGTCTTTGTGTGAGTGCCGGTGACACAAAATTTGTGTTTTATTCTTTTGCAGCAAGTGCTTTGCCCACTGAGGCAACTTCTGAGCTCCTTATATATTTATTTTTAAGTCCTTACCATAGAGGTAAAAAAAAAAGTCTTTTAGAAATAACAATAAAGCTTAAGTTCTTTCTTTAATCCTATATTTTGCAGAAGAAAGGTTAAGTTTAGGCTCACACAGTGGGTACATACTGAGTAGAAAAGTTCCCCAATTCTTCATTATTCTCAGGTTAGTTAAAGATACAAAGGAGGACCTGCATGAATGTAGAACCATCTGAGATAACATGTCTTCATTTCTGGAAGCCTCCTCTACCTGGACAGAACCCTACTTGAGCCCTCCTTTTAGTCTCAGCACCTGTCTTGTGTGGAAATCATTTAATCTTACTTCACTTCCAGCATTTCATTGTGAGGGGACTTGAATGTGTCTACTGGCCAGATGGACAGGTACTTGAGTACTTTATTCTTTTCCCTTTGCTATGAGACTCTACAATGCTGATGGGTTAGAATGGTTAGTGAACAGAGAATGGTCTGCCATTTATAAAAATCTTTCCAATTACTCTAAAGACGTAATGTGTAACAATCACTTATCCTTCTGACATTACAGTCCATTGGAAGTAAATGATGTCATAAACATCTTATTCTCAATCAGTTGCTTAAAGTTAGATATTGAGAGATCTCCTATATATAAAATTGGGACTTCTGACTTTTTGCAATGAGAAAAACAGCAACACATGTTCAAAGCCTTTCTTTGTCACATAGCAGTTAGAAAATCTAATGAAGTTACATGGACATCAAGAGGATAAAGACATTAATAATCATGAATTTACTGTGAAAATTAGATGAGATGATTTTTCATATCTCTGTACATTTGTCTTGAAATCTCAAAAAATGAAGCTTGGTGTCATTATTACTCAACAAATTACAGATAATACATAGTCACCAAGCAGAAAATTAATATGCAAAGTGCCAATATGATCTCACCATTTTTTTGTTAAGTGTTGGACTTTTGGTAAAGGTTGAACAGTGTTTATCTTGATACAGTATGGGTTATTTCTTTGTTCTAATTTGTTAGTGTCATTTTTCTCATTAACTTTCATTCTCTCCAAATCACTGGGAGTTTCTGAGATGTACATGCTTCTAAAAGTACTTTGTGTTTTGAAAGCCCTAGGAAAACATATATACCTGTCAATTTTCAGTAAAGTTGTCATGTGCAACACCACTTCAGGTTAATATCTCCCCACTGAATATGTATAGCTTTGGCTTCACCCATGCTTCTAAGTTTTTGAACAACTTGCTAGTTAAGTTGGATACTTCTTAACCATTTAAATCCTTAATTCTAAGGTGGGGTCTAGTGCACAGAACAGTTTGGTGTACTAGGAATAGAAACACATGTCTGCCGTTCTGTATTTGAGTCTGCCCTCAACAATGCATATAGAGGTCCAAAAGTATCAGAAAGCCCTACATTCACTTCCAGAAAAGCTCATTCCAGCTGTGAGTCTCTGGTTTCAGAGCCTGACTTTTCTGCCAAATTAAAATTGAAATCACAATTTGGCAAACACAGCTGGTAAAGTTCACTGCAGGAATGAATAACACCCAGGCTGTGAAGTCAACTACCATGTCCAGACTTGTTTACAAGTGCCAATGATTTAATTGAAACACAGCTGCAGGATTTAAAACAACAGTGTTTAGCCTTTTCCAATATTTTCAGATCTTTTGTCCCATCCAATTCCTAAATAGACTCCTTAAGACAGTTAATGGAGTTAATTAGTTCACATAAGCTAGGTTATGGTCTGCCAACCAAGAACTTCCAAAAATCAGTGAGTTAAGAAAAAGAGTTAATTTCATGCTTATACAATTTCTTGTTCACTAAATTCCAAGTTACTTATTGATTTAGACATGTTCTGTGAGTTATAATTTTCCCATCTCAACACAAGGCCTCCAAACTGGCCTGGGGCAATGTTTGCTATTAGAGAGAGAAAGGTACTGAAGACACAAACACCTTTGTATGACACAGGAAGCATGGTCTGTGGGGCAGTGTTTAAGGTCATGGTTTATGAGAAGAAGATTAAGAAGATTAAGCTTCGATTAGTAGTTGATTGTCAGATGAAATTAAGTATCCTATTTATTAAAATTGCAATTGCAAAATCTGGCATTCAATAGGACAATGTACAAGATGCTTTTTGAAAGCTAAGCAATGCTAAATAAATTATTCTTATGCAATGACTAAGACAGTGTCTGTTATGTTAAATGCCGTTGTAATTGTCATGGTTTTATGTTATTATGGCTAGCCTAGAGTTCCCAGATATTTCACCAAATGATAATACAAACATACAGTAAAGACATGAAGATATGATTGCAATGAACTTGAAGAAAGTTCTTAGCATTCTGGGAAAGGCATGTTGCAATGTCATGAAACACTTTGAAAGAAGAACTGAGGCTTACTTGAGGAAAAGAGAATCTTAACAATGGGCTGCAGTTTCAAGCTATTTTAGAATGTACCAGCACCTTTTGTGCTGCATAATTAAGACCTGCCTTGATAATTTAACATAACTACACAAGGCACCTCTTCACAGTGAATCCATATATCCAAGTTAAACGTTTTTGGATTTTGTCTGTATAGGTGCATGGGGATTTGTTGTTGTTGTTAGTGGTGGTGGTGTTGTAGCCTCACTGTTTTAAGAGTATCTTGAAACTGTACTCAGAATATATTTTTCTCTAAAATGTTAAATTGTTAAATAACATTTCTAATGAGAACTGAAGCATGACTTTACTCCTGTTCTGAGGAAAGCAGATAGTGATCAAAATATCAAGACAAACATTTAAAAGTGTGATTAAAGCAATCAGGATGGGAAAATAAGGCAATGATTTGGACATTATGTTCTAGTAGCTCCAATAGAGTACTTATACATTTTATCAATTTAAGATACACAATGTCAGAATCTGTGTGACTGAAAATATGGGGTTTTAGAATGCTTTTATTACAATTACTTTTGTGTGTGTGTGTGTGTGTGTGTGTGTGTGTGTGTGTATGTGCATGTGCATATGAAGTTGTGCCCCAAACTGATCATTGGAATGAAAGAAAGCTAGATAATTAGTGAGAGCTGTGCACACAAGTCTAGAAGAAATAAGATTGACTGTTGAAGTTAGGTCTTTCTAATGCCAAAGATCATAACTAGCTGTAATCTGTGACTGTTTCAAGATTGAAGGAAGATAGAGGAAAGACCAAATGCAAGCTAACTCCTGGGTTATTTGCCTCCACCATTTCCTACATCTAGGAGGCATCTTTACTCTCCCTGTCCACCTGAAACTATCCATGAAGTCAACACAAACCAATGTCCATGAAAACTCTACAATCTCATCCTGGTCTAGTGGAGTCTAATGCATGCCGCACTGTCTACTTCATGGCCATTTGTGGAAAACTGACCCAGCTGAGTGTGGGAGAATCTACAAAACTTAAACAAACAGAATGACAGACTTAAAACTTACCTTAATTCAAACTGATGCCAACTACTCTGCTCTATTCTAATTAACTTGAATAAATAACCATGTTTTATATGTATATTTCCATGTGTGTACATGTATGTGAAATTATCATTTGTAAATTATGTAACAGTTTAGATAATCACTTTCCAATTCTAACAATCACTCAAGTCAATCAATCTCTTTGTGCGGTGTGTGTGTGTGTGTGTGTGTGTGTGTGTGTGTGTGTGTGTGAGTGTGTGTGTGTATCACTAAGTAAGGTGGCCCTATGGATGTAGTGGCCAACAATACTGAGGCAGAGCTAGCACACAAAGCAAGATATAACATTAATTATACACATAGTTTCATATTTATATAAGTAATTTCTAGTTACCTACCTAATAACATAGCATATCATTGCACATGTGGTGGAAGTCAGGAAAAAATATTTCTTGCCCCCCCTTTAATTTGCACTACATTGTAGGCACCTTTAGTGAAAATATGAACTGTCACATCAAGCTCTACCAAAAACAGTGATGACAACTCACCTGTCTAACATGCAAGAGATGAGATTCGGCCAAGTGCCTGCCCTCTATATCACTCTTTCATCCTTTGCCTACTCTTGGAGACAGATTCACAGTCCTCAATAGATCTACAGGCCAAAAGCATTGTTATTATTTACACTGAGCTTCTTCCAGTTTTTTTTTAAAGTTGTAGTCAAACAGGAAGAAAGCAAAAAATTTGCATACTCTATCAATCTTTCTGACTCCTTAGATGCTGAGATTTACAGAAGGCAATAGTGAAGGAGCCCTGGATAGGGAAATATAGGCTGATTTCTAGGCTTTAAAAGATTATTTGAGGATAAGTGGTCTGTATTTCAAATGTTCTAGCACTTTATTATTACATCATGTCTCATATACTGTTTCAGGAAGGTAATTAACCCCACAGTTTATGCTAATATTGAAAAGTAAATTTAAACTAAATATGATCATTGTTTCAATATCCAATCCAAAATGTGTTTTCTAGAAAACACAACTGCCCCTTAACTTAAGAAGCATCTTTTCTTTACCAAGCACAAATTGAAATGTACCATCTGTTGGCATTAGAAAACGGGGCACATATTAGTAATAGTATACTAAGACATGTACAAACCATTGGTGAAAATAGTATTAAATAAGAGGCTTAAAAGCATGTTTTGTTATTGTTATTCTAGTTTTCAGCTCCATATTGATGTAAACACCACTCATTTAATTATTTTATAGTGTTGTATGCTCTACGAAAAAGGTATGATTCCAAGATGACAGTCACACCTGAAATCATAGGTTGGAGATTATCACTTGCTTCCATATTCGTAACTGAACCTTGGTCTTCTGTGAAAGCAACAAGTGTTCTTCAACTCCCTAGTCATCTCTCCAGACCTCTGTTTTGTTGCTGATATTTGCTTGTCTCTTTATTTTTGTGAATTTCATACAACTGCTATGGTCTAGATAATTTCCTTCCTTCTCCCCACTCCAACTCCCATCTGTCCTTTATTCTCTAAAATTCATAACCTTTTCTCTATAGTTACTACTGTTATATGTATATACATAGGTAGAAAAACAGATAGATGACAGATGATAGATAATTGATAGATAGATATATACATAGATAGATGATAGATGCATAGATGCTAGATCATAGATACATAGATACACAAATAAATGGATAGATACATGCATAGATAGATAGATAGATAGATAGATGGATAGATAGATAGATAGATGTGATACCACTAAGACCATTTAGTATTTCTCTTACCCATGTGTTTAAGACTGACCATTTGGGATTGGCTAACCTATCTAGAAGCTTCTCCCCAGAGAAAACATTGATTGCCCATAGTTCTTTTTCTAGGTGTAGGACCTTGAAACCACCCCATCACATTTCATTAGCATTTATTCTTATACTATGTTTATTAGTGTTTCCTGCATATGTGAATCTGCACCATTGAGCACAGTGCTTATAGAATCCAGAAGAAGGTGTTAGCTCCTTCAATTTGAGGTACAGGTGGTTGTCAGCCACCATATGGGTGTTGCAAAACAAACCTGGGTTCTCTGCAAGAGCAGCAAGTTTTCTTAAGAGTTATTATTCTAGTCCATACTTTACCTGCATGCTTCTTATTGATTACAACTTCCTAACTCATATAACATTATCAGTAGATTTAACCAAGGCACTGATGAGATAATCTAGTAACTTGCCCTGTCATTTCTTGGCACCCCAGCTTCATTGACCCATACCCATGCTCTCCCACTTTCTGATGTCCATCCATTTATTCTTACTCTCAGTCATAATGCATCTCTGACTGCTCAACCTCTAAGGCAGCAGTTTTACTTTTTCTATTCTTCAATAATCATCTTGTTCTGAAAATAAAGGAAAACAAAAAATAAAAGTTTTTAAGTTAATTTTCTCCTTTTTAAACAAAATTTTAACATATTATTTCTCTTAAAGTCTTTAGCACATGATAACTAATGAGTGAAGCTAAAATTGTATTATGTACTATAAACAATATTTTGTCTTTCCACCTCTGAGATTCTGCATGTCTGCATTGTACTTATGTTAAAATATATCCAACTCCTCTTCTCTCTAAAGGCAGCTTTTGTGCCCTGTCCTACTTAATCTGTTCACAACTAAAAGCATTCATTCTCTTCTTTCTATTCTGCTTTGTTTTACATGCTTTCCTAAAAAGTTATCACCCTGTTCTTCCACTACCCATAGAAGAGGTAGTGACTGAAGTGATTCTTACAAGAACCCATGAACCTTTTAAAGCTTTACTTTGTCAATATATTTCTTCCACTTGCTTAACCACTATTACACATAAAAATGAACTACCTAGGGATGATCTATTGAATTGCTAGAGATTCTGACATCCCCCACCCTTCTATTATTACATAGCAAACACTAGAATTCCTCATTAATTTAGGGTCTAATAACTCTACCACTTTTTTTCTTGTCTGATATGTGGCTCTCTACTAGACTCATGCTCCCAAGTGGTAGTCTATCTTCTAGTTCAACTGAACTTCTTTTCTTTTAATACTCCATGTACTCTTTTGAAAATGCACAGTCTAATTTTTCTGAGCCCAAGGTATGGGGGATTTAGTCATATATTTCTTTAATTTTTACTTCTAGATAAATATATTCAACCCAATGGTATCATCAAACCACATATAAGACATAACTTCAGTAGTGATATTTTTATATTATTTATATGAGTGTTTGCTTGCATGTATGTGTACAATGTTCGTGCAATGCCTGAACAGGGCAGAGTGGTTGTAAGAGTCTTGACACACCAATCCTACAACTCTTGCCATTCCTAAGTCAGTCAGCTCATGATTTTTCAGTTCAGAGTCCACATCCCTGAGACCATGTCATCTCTTCACAACTTGATTGATAATACTAAGCACAGTGGTCAGCTATAATCCACTAGACTAATTACTGCCTCTGTTTTTAACTGCAGTTAATTGTTTTAATTGAGATCAGTGTATCAAGACTCTGTGTATATCAACTCTCTATTAGAATTGTATTCTTGCTTCTTTTCCAGACTACTTCAATATTTACAAATTTCCCCCAGTTATCTAATTAACCAAAGGATCCCACAGCCCAGGATTCCATATATATCTTTATTTCAGGAAGTCTCTGACATGCTTGCAAAGTAAGCCCTGAGATACCTTTCCTCTGTACATGCCTATATCCCATTCAAAATAATTGATTCCTACATTTATCCTCAGAGGTATCATGGCAAATCTCACTGTAGGAAAATCTCCGTGACACAACACATGTTTATTAAAGACTAGAAATCTGTGAAACAGTTACTTAGCACAAACTTCAAAGCTTGTCGAGTCTATCTCGACCAGCAAGAGAAACACGACCACGACTCTTCTTTAAGCAGTTTCTTCAGAAACCTTGTATGTTAGCTTCTACTTTCACTTTTGGTTACCTCTGCTTTGTCTGTTCCTGGAACTTTATCGCTCCTTACCGGGGACCTTATTGCCTCTTTACCGAGGTCCTTACTTGGTCCCAACTTACCTGGGACTTACCAGTCGACTGACCTGACTGCAGGAAGTTCTGAGCCGTTCACCCATGGAGGCTCCCCGTCCGGGCCACCACTCATCTTGACAGCCTCGACTAGCAAGGATGACGCAACACAGGAGCTCTTCTTGCAAGCAGTTTATTCAGAACCTTTTTTAACAGTGGATTCTCTCTCTCTGCTTCTTCAATATCTCCCAGCCCCCTGGAAATCCCAGATAACAAGCTCATTACCCAATTAGCTCACGCCACCTGGCGATCCTGGATAGGTCACAGCTGGAGGAGGCACACCAGATCCACTAAGCACTTCCAAATAAGGCTTGTTTACAGCTAAGCTCCGTCTCCCTGGCATCCAGCCAGGCCCCATCTTGGGGCTGTGGCTCCCCACAAAAGCTGTCTTTTTTACCCCAAGCAAAACATTTCCATCCTACAAAGGAGCATAGTGACCTAGCCTTTGAGCTTGTTCAGCTTGAAACCACCAGGCTTACAATGGAATGGACACTTATATGGTCATTTGATGTCTTATGATTGAGTGTGGTCTCCACTACCAGTCCTATAAGCATGGCATGAAGTTCTTTCCAAATACTGAGTGTTATATCCTTAATCGGTTTAGTAAAGATACCCTGAGACTTGTAAGCTTTAACACATCATGATTTTGTAGCACCAAAGGAACTTCTGAGCATTTATACTGGCCTCCTATACAGCTTTCACTGGAAATGGAACTACTTAAGGGCCCTGCTTGCTGCAACATTCACGCACTTACTGTAGTCTTCTCATTTAGCCCTGTGTAAGCCCAAGGAGTATTCCTATTCCATAGTATGACAATGGTTGTTTCCAAAACTTAAAGTGAGCCAAAAGCCACATTGTTTTCTAAATGCAGAAGTTGAAAGACAAATAATTTGTCTTACTATAGATGAAAAGCTTGACATTCCTCAGACTACTGGTGCCGTAAAACTATCAGCTGCTTCTTTGTGGTCTTTTATCCCCATTCTTTGGAACACACATACTTCACTGGGGAGCAGGATAACTTATTAAGTTACTATTTTCTCAACCACTGTGGTAGTGTGTCAAGGCAGCAGTAATCAAGGCCCTGCAGATTATGTGTGACAAATCTATGTGGCAAAAGGTAATGAGCCTTTAACAGGGACTATGGCTTCCATTTAAACTTGAAGTGACTGGCTGTCTTTATTTGAGGGGATTGAAAATGTGCGTTCCTCAGATCATTAGCTATATATCAAGTGTCTGAGGCTGTGTTTCATGTTTCCAGGAAAAATTACTGAGGTTGGTAATACCAGTGCCTGCTGTGGTTGTCTTACAATGACTGAGCAGGTGAAATCCTCCTTGATGTATGCCAGAACTGTGAACCATATGCCCTGTAAGTCTTAGAAAACATCCTTTATGCACAGATTTAAATAGAGAATTCTCAGTAGATGAAACTCAAGTGGCCAATAAACACTTAGGGAAATGCTCATCATCCTTACTCATCAGGGAAATGCCAATCAAAACTACTTTGAGAATCCATGTCATATCTGTCAGAATAGCTGAGACCAATAACACAATTGGCAGTTCATTCGAGGAGGGATGTGGAGCAAGGGGAACACACCTCCATTGCTGGTAGTAGAAAAATCTTGTAGAGCCACTATGAAAATCATTGTGGTGGATCCTCAGAAAGATAGGAATTGATTTATCACGAGATCCAGCTATACCACTTTTGCACATATTCCCAAAAAACACTTCATCCTACCACTAGAACACTTTCTCAATCCTGTTCACTGCTGTTCTAGTCATGATAGATAGAAATGGGAAACAACCTAGATGTCCCTCAACAGAAGAATAAAGAAAATGTGGTACATTTTACATAATGGAGTATTATGTGGCTGTTAAAAATGACGTTATAAAATCTGCAGACAAATGGGAGGAATTAGAGGAAAAAAATTAATCCTGAGTGAGGTAACTCAATCCCAGAAAGATAAATGATGATGGGGAAAGTCCTTCCGTGTATATGTCTGTCTTATTGGTTGATAAATAAAGTACTGTTGACCAATGGGAAAGCAAGATAGACAGGACTAGGAGTCAAGGAGGATTCCGGGAAATGTAATAAGGACAGTCGCTATGATGTGATCACGACAAGAATGGACACACGCCGCTAGTGTCCTCAATGAGATAAGTTTATAAAATATATAGATTAATAATTATCGTTTATAATTAAGACTGAGCTAACAAGTAAGAAATCCTAGTCATTGACAAGTAGCATTTGTAGCTAATATAATTCTCTGTGCGTTATTTTGGCCACCTACTTGTTGGTTGGCAGAAAGATTTATAATTACAAAATATGGTGTGTATTTACATATATATGTATATTAGCCATTAAGTAAAAAATAACCATGCTACAAGCTGTTGACAAAGAGAGATTAGGTATAGAGGAAGGGACTTGGAGGGGTTCACATAGGTATTCCTTGGAGCAAGAAATACAATAAATTAAATGGGTGGACTAATGGGTAGAGAGGATGGGATGGGAAGACCAGGTAGGGATGGGAAGTAGATGGGTGTTTAAAAAGGGAATGTAAGGAGAAACACCTAGAATTCAGTAGCATTTGGGGGGTGGTATGGAAACCTAGGACAGTGGAAACTTCCTAAGATACATGAAAGTGATTCCAATGAACTCAAAATATTGGTGGAGACAGAATCCCAACTGGCCATCTCTTGTCACCAAACAAAGTTTCCAGTACTGGGACTGGGTTGTATCTAGTTTAGTTGTCAGCCAAATGGGATTCCATGGAAATCCATAAAAATTGAAGGCTGTTGCCTAGAAAATAGGTGGCTGTCCACATTGACAGAAAGGCCCCAGCTGAAGACAACACCCACAGAATTCATTAAACATGGAAGGGTCTATGTCTTGCCTTCATAGAAATCTCATTTTTTTCATTCTAGTGTCTTTTGTGGAGGCAGTTACTCTGAAGGTTACCAAAAGAGAAACAAATACCAACTCAGTCCCCAGTGGCAAAACCTTTGATCTACAATTCTGTCCTGTCTACAAAATACGCTAGAGCAATGGTGGCAAAAAGTTTGAGTGAATGGCCGACCAACATCTGATTCAACATCAGGGTCCCTCTGTGAGATGGAATCCAGACTTGGAATTGCTTCAGTGACCAAGAACCAAGGATTGGACAGCCCAGGGATCTAGGGTAATACCAAACACTATTGGTCTAAACGGAAAAAAAAATAGTGATTAAAATGACTTCAAAGATAATTCTTCTGTACTTATAGACCAGTGTCTTATTCAGTCATTATCAGAAAAACTTCCTCCTGCAGCAAATGGGAACAAATACAGAGACACACAGTTAGACATTATGCAGAGAAAGAGGGAAAGAGGGAAAGAGCCAGAGGATATGGGGGCACCAGGGAAGCAGCTCTCTCTAAATGAACTTAGCAATTATCATATGAATTCACAAAGACTGAAGCAGTAAGCACAGAGCCTCCTGTAGGGTTCTGTATCAGGTCTCTGGCTCATATATTATAGCTCTCACTTTATAGTTTTTATGGGACTCTTAAGTGTGTGAATTAGTGGTTCACTGATTCTTGAGCATTTTTTTTCTGCTCTTTTCCTTCTGATGATTTATCTTATCCAACTTCAATGTAATGTTTTTTTATTTTTTTGTATTTTAATTTGTTATGTATGGTTGTTATCTCTTACAAGTACATTCTTTTCTAATGAGAGACAGAAAGAAAGGGGATCCAGATGGGATAAGAGGTGGAGATGAACTAGAGGAATAGAGGGAGGGGAAATTGTAATCAGGATATATTGCATGAGAAAAGAATCTATTTTTAATAAAAGAGAAGAATAAAAAACAGCCCTAATTTCTGCAGGTTCTTTGGGGCTTTATACTAGTTTTAAGAATTTGTACCCTGAGCATATGCTCTCTGGATTTCTTCAAAAATTCTTGGGAAGAATGCAATGGTTCTGTCACATACCAATTGCATCTTTTTCAACTTTAAACCAACGTCAAAGAATAAATTTATATGGTTGCACTGACCCATTGGACCCATTCAGATATATGTAAGTTAGTGTTGAAAATGTACTTTGGCCTCATATTGCCACTCAAGATGTCTTTCTTAGTGTAGGACATTGCCATTTTCCACTGGTGTGTTGATTTTGGCTTTCACCTCCCAAGGTTAGTTGTTTTTGAATATGAGTAGTTTGAATAGTATTCTCATTGGTTATCAAATTTTCTCACTACTGGAAACTGAATTGAAAGGTGAAACTACAGTCACAGAACCATTTTTGAATGAATGAATAGGAGGGCAAGGTAGGAAAGAGAAAGTAGTTTGGACAAAGGTATTGGATCCTATGAGTGGATATTGAGTGCAGTCTCTCTCTCTCTCTCTCTCTCTCTCTCTCTCTCTCTCTCTCTGTGTGTGTGTGTGTGTGTGTGTGTGTGTGTGTGTGTGTGTGTGGTGATCATTGGTATCAAGGATAAGATAAGAAGTAAAGGCATAATCAAACTGGTTCAAAGGTAAAGAGCCAACAAGGATAAAAAGAAGATGGATTAAGTTCTAATCTGTAACTGGCAGATTCAGCCTCAGCAGCAGTAGGGAGTAACAATGTTTAGGGTCATTCATATATATATTGACTATGAGGAAGCAGACTGAAGTTCAAGGTAAGGGTTCTGTAAGAAAACTTTTGGTGGTGTACTGTATTTGATTAAACAAAGTTAAACACTTCACAGTGAAGGTCATTTCTACTCAAGTCTTTAACATACCAAAGTACGTAAGATCTTTCAAAACTGGTTACTGTAATCAGCACCTCTACAAAAGCTCTGGGACTCCTTTTACTGTTGATAGTTGGAAGACTGTCAATTCTTCCTGCACTGTAATTCTAAGGAGTAGCTTCAAAGTCGTGATTTAGTAAAACCTGGCTTGGGTTGTGTTCAGTTCAGAGATGGGATGGTGGGGTGTCTGCCTGTCTACAAGGGTCAGGTGAACTGAGGTTGCTGTCACTTTGCATCTGTTCCACAGAACAGGATAATCACATTCTTCCTCCTGTGTAAGACATCATTTTTTCTGAGAAGCCACTGATGATTTGGTCCTCAGACTAGACAAAAGACATCTACTGTTGCTTTGCATAGGCCTCAGTATGGTTTCCCACATGGCGAGAGGTTTCATCTTTGAAGCCTTGGATCTTGCCTTTGACTA